AAAAAATCCCCAAAAATTTCCCAAAATTCCCCAAAATTCCCCAAAAATCCCAAAAAATCCCCAAACCCCCCCAAATTCCCGAATTCCCTCCGCAGGTTCCGAGCCCTCTCTCCTTCTCCGCTTCCGGGCCGAGCTCGATCCCGGGAGGCTCCGGAGCCGCGGAATTTTCGCTTCCGGAACCTTCCAGAACGGGAGCCTCCGGATGGGGGAGGGGCGGAGCTGCCGGACCCTCGAGATCTTCTCCAAGGTTGAGGGGAAATTTGGGAATTTGGGGAATTTTGGGGATTTTTTTGGGATTTTTTTGGGAATTTTGGGGGGAATTTTTGGGAATTTTTTGGGAATTTTTGGGAATTTTGGGGGGGGAATTTTTGGGGCATTTTGGGGAAATTTTGGGGATTTTTGGGGGGAATTTGGGGATTTTTTGGGGGGAATTTTGGGGGATTTTTGGGGAATTTTTGGGGATTTTTTTGGGATTTTTTGGGGAATTTTTGGGGATTTTTGGGGATTTTTTGGGGGATTTTTTAAGGGATTTTTTTGGATTTCATGGGATTTTTATGGGGATTTTTTGGGGATTTTTGGGGAATTTTGGGGGATTTTTTTGGATTTTTTTGGGAATTTTTTGGGATTTTTTTGGGATTTTTTGGATTTTTTGGGGGAATTTTTTGGGAATTTTTTTGGATTTTTGGGGGAATTTTTGGGGATTTTTTGGGATTTTTTTGGGGAATTTTTTTGGGATTTTTGGGATTTTTTTGGGATTTTTGGGATTTTTTGGGGGGATTTTTTTTGATTTTTGGGGGGAATTTTTGGGGTTTTTTGGGGAATTTTTTTGGGATTTTTTGGGAATTTTTGGGATTTTTTGGGGATTTTTTGGGGAATTTTTTGGATTTTTTGTGGGAATTTTTGGGGAATTTTTTTTGATTTTTGGGGAATTTTGGGGGGGAATTTTTGGGAATTTTTGGGGCATTTTGGGGAAATTTTGGGGATTTTTGGGGGGAATTTTTGGGAATTTTTGGGGAATTTTGGGGTTTTTTTGGGGAATTTTTTGGGATTTTTTGGGATTTTTTTGGAGGGAATTTTGGGGGGATATTTGGGGAATTTTTGGGGAATTTTTGGGGATTTTTGGGGGGAATTTGGGGGAATTTTGGGGGGTTTTTTGGGGAATTTTGGGGGAATTTTTGGGGAATTTTTGGGAAATCTTTTGGAATTTTTGGGGGGAATTTTCTGGGAATTTTTGGAAATTTTGGGGGAATTTTTTGGGAATTTTTGGTTATTTTGGAGAATTTGGGGAAATTTGGGGGAATTTTGGGATATTTGGGTGGAATTTTGATGGAAATCCGTGGGAATTTGGGTAAAATTGGTGGGAATTTGGGATTTTTGTGGGAATTTTTGGTTTTTTTTTGTGGGAATTTTTGAGGTTTTTATGGGAATTTTGGGAATTTTGGGAATTTTGGGAATTCCAGGGCTGCCCCCAGGACACGCTGACCCCTCTGACCCTTCGGGTGACCCTCGGTGGTCTCGGGGAGCCTCTGGAAGCGGCCGGAGGGCTCCGGCCACAGCTCGGACCCGACTCGGACACGGCCGTGACGGCCTCGGTGAGTGAGCGCAGAAAGTGACCCAAAACGGGCTAAAAATGACCCAAAAATCACCCAAAATACACCCAAAAATTGCACAAAAATTACCCAAAAAATGACCACGAAAATGACCCAAAATGGGCCAAAAATGACCCAAAAATCACCTAAAAATGGGTCCAAAAATGGGCCAAAAATCACCCCAAAATCACCCAAAATACAGCCAAAAATTACATGAAAATTACCCCAAAAATGACCCCAAAAATGACCCCAAAAATGACCCAAAATGGGCCAAAAAACACCCAAAAATCACCCAAAAATTACACGAAAATTACCCAAAAAATGACCACGAAAATGACCCAAAATGGGCCAAAAATGACCCAAAATGGGCCAAAAATCGCCCAAAAATCACCCAAAATACACCCAAAAAATACACGAAAAATGGGCCAAAAATCACCCAAAAATCACCTAAAAATGACCCAAAAATGGGCCAAAAATGGGCTAAAAATCACCCAAAAATCACCCAAAAATGACCCAAAAATGACCAAAAAAATGAGGTAAAAATGGCTTAAAATGTCCCAAAAATGAGGAAAAAAATGAGCAAAAAATGAGCAAAAAATGAGCAAAAAAATCCCCAAAAATACAAAAAAAAAAATCCCCAAAAAATCCTTAAAAATTCCTAAAAAATTTTTAAAAATCCCCAAAAATATTTCAAATCCTCAAAATTATTAAAAATCATCAAAAGCCCCAAAAATGCCCCAAAATTCTCTCCCAGCTCCCGTTCGAGCACGACTGCGGCCCCGATAATTCCTGCCAGGACGAGCTCCACGTCGGCCTCAAATTGGAGGGGTGAGGAGGGAATTTTGGGGGAATTTTGGGGAATTTTGGGGATTTTGGGGAATTTGGGGAATTTTGGGGATTTTTGGGAAATTTTGGGGGATTTTGAGGATTTTTAAAGGGATTTTTGGGGATTTTTTGGGGTTTTTAAAGGGATTTTTTTTGGATTTTTGGGGGTTTTTAAAGGGATTTTTTGGGGATTTTTTGGGGGTTTTTAAAGGGATTTTTTGGGGGATTTTTGGGGTTTTTAAAGGGATTTTTTTGGGATTTTTTTAGGATTTTTTTTGATTTTTAGAGGGATTTTTATGGGATTTTTTGGGGATTTTTGGGGATTTTTGGGGGATTTTAAAAGGGATTTTTTGGGGATTTTTGGGGGGTTTTTAAAGGGATTTTTTTGGGATTTTTGGGGGTTTTTAAAGGGATTTTTTTTATTTTTGGGGGGATTTTTTGGGGATCTTTTTGGGATTTTTTTGGGATTTTTTTGGGATTTTTTAGGCTTTTTTAGGATTTTTAAAGGGATTTTTTTGGGATTTTTTTAGGCTTTTTTGGGGTTTTTAAAGGGATTTTTTTGGGGATTTTTTAGGATTTTTTGGGGTTTTTAAAGGGATTTTTTTGGGATTTTTGGGGGATTTTTAAAGGGATTTTTTTGGGGATTTTTGGGGGATATTAAAGGGATTTTTTTGGGATTTTTGAGGATTTTTTTTGATTTTTAAAGGGATTTTTTTTTGATTTTTTGGGGGATTTTTGGGAGGATTTTTTTGGGATTTTTTTTGATTTTTAAAGAGATTTTTTTGGGATTTTTTTGGGATTTTTTTGGGATTTTTTTGGGATTTTTTAGGATTTTTTGGGATTTCTAAAGGGATTTTTTTTGGATTTTTGGGGATTTTTAAAGGGATTTTTTTTGATTTTTTGGGGGATTTTTCTGCGATTTTGGGGCCTCCCAAAATGAATTTTTTTGGATTTTTTGGGGGGATTTTTCTGCGATTTTGGGACCTCCCAAAATGAATTTTTTTGGATTTTTTGGGATTTTTTTGGGATTTTTGGGGGATTTTTGGGGATTTTTAAAGGGATTTTTGGGGATTTTTTCGGATTTTTTGGGATTTTTAAAGGGATTTTTTGGAATTTTTGGGGGTTTTTTAAAGGGATTTTTTGGGGATTTTGGGGGGTTTTTAAAGGGATTTTTTTTTAATTTTTGGGGGATTTTTGGGAGGATTTTTTTGGGATTTTTTGGGGATTTTTTTGGGATTTTTTTGGGATTTTTTTGGGATTTTTAAAGGGATTTTTTTTGGATTTTTTTTGGGATTTTTGAGGGGATTTTTTGGGGATTTTTCTGCGATTTTGGGGCCTCCCAAAATGAATTTTTTTGGGATTTTTTGGGGGGATTTTTCTGGAATTTTGGGGCCTCCCAAAATGAATTTTTTTGGATTTTTTTGGGGATTTTTCTGCGATTTTGTGGCCTCCCAAAATGAATTTTTTTGGATTTTTTGGGATTTTTTTGGGATTTTTGGGGGATTTTTTGGGATTTTTTGGGGATTTTTTGGGATTTTTTTTGATTTTTAAAGGGATTTTTTTGGGAGTTTTGGGGGTTTTTAAAGGGATTTTTTTGGAATTTTTGGGGGAATTTTAAAGGGATTTTTTTTGGTTTTTTTGGGGATTTTTGGGGGTTTTTAAAGGGATTTTTTTTTAATTTTTGGGGGATTTTTTTGGGATTTTTTTGGGATTTTTTTGGGATTTTTTTTTTATTTTTTTGGATTTTTTTGGGATTTTTTTTGGATTTTTTGGGATTTTTTTGGGATTTTTTTTGGATTTTTTTGGGATTTTTGAGGGGATTTTTTGGGGATTTTTCTGCGATTTTGGGACCTCCCAAAACGAATTTTTTTGGGATTTTTTGGGGGGATTTTGTTTTTTTTTTGGGGGGG